TAAACTCTACTGTATGGCCTTCCTGGCGTTGATGTAGCAGACCTGGTTTGCAGTCATCAAAAAGGAGTTCAATAAAACCTACTGTATGCCCCAGTTTCTTCGGGCAGGTCTCCTTGGGCCCGTCTCCCTGTGGCAGCTCCCGGCGCGAGCCCAAGGGTTCATCGAAGGGTTCCCCGGACTCCTTCTCTCTACTTGAAGGTTCATGGGTCGGGTAGTTATAAGGGTTCTTTGAAGGGTCCCTCTAAAGGGATCTAGAGGGAGTCTATAAGGGTATAGGGTTTAGGGCCTACTTGGAGGTTCATGGGTAGTTATACGTAGGGTTATAAGTCCCCTACTATGGGTTATAAGTATAGTTTACCCTACTTATAGCCCTACTTATAACTGCCCATGAACCTCCAAGTAGTGTTCGAAACAAGGGTTCTATAAGGAATCCATCGAAGGACTCCTTTTCTGCCTCCAGGTTTCAGAATAAGGGTTCTATAGTGATCGAGAAGGGTTCGGTTCAAGAAGGGTTTCAAGCTGATAGGGTTTGGGGTTGGCCACCGGTGCCGCAGATCTGTGTGTTACGAAACCTGGCGACACACTGGCCCTGTGAAACCCGATGCAGCCTCCACGACATACCCCCAAACCCTCAAGCCTAAACTCGAAACCCTCAGCCTTAAACGCGAAGCACGCAGCCTTAAACTTGAAACCCTAAAGCCTAACCCCACGCAGGTCGATTTTGTGGCTGAGTCGGTGTACCTGATCTCTGCGGCAGCGGTGGCTGCCTTTATCGACTCGAAAGCTTTGCTGCATGGCACTGACAGAATGCGCTCTTGTTGTTGTTGTTGTTGTTGTTGTTGTTGTTGTTGTTGTTGTTGTTGTTGTTGTTGTTGTTGTTGTTGTTGTTGTTGTTGTTGTTGTTGTTGTTGTTGTTGTTCATCATAACTACTTTGTGGATTGTTCGGTGCCACAAGGGGTAATAGTAGGGAAATGCAAGGAAACTTAAGACCCTCGTACAAACCATCACCGAGAAGTAGCATTTTGGGGATTGAAGGGGGCAGTTTCGGGCTTTGCTTGCACTTGGTTAGTAGGGAATGGAGGAATGGGGTACAATTACAACTGCTATTACTACCATTCTTCCATTCCCTAGTAACCAAAGGTAAGTTTGCAGCGGCAACTGCGGAAATAGGAAATCGATTGGTTCCTTCAAGGGTTTATATAGTCTTTAGGGCTTAGAGTTTAAGGTTTCTCATTCAGTCCCCTGTGCTCTCAACTCGAAGCATAATGCTCAAGCCCGAAACTCGAAACCACAGAAGGGAAGAAGCCCTAAACCCCACTGTGGGGAGTCCTTCATGAGGGTATCCGGGAAGGGTGCAGCGGCAGCCCGGAGCCCTAAACCCCAAACCCTCGAATAGGAGGTTGTGCAAGGAGGCCATGCAAAGCACGCCAGTGTTTAGAGTTGAGGCTTCATCAGATTGACGACATAAGCCGGTTCGGGGTTTGAGCACTTAGGATGTTCGGTGTAAGGTTCGAGGCAGAAGACAGGTGAAGCGACACATGTGCCCTCAGTTTCTCCAGCCTCACGCCCTTGAGCTGCAACCATGACCCTAACCCTAAACCTTAACAACGCATGCTCGGCAGCTGAACGCCTTACCTCCAGCCCAAATCCAAAGAGCTACCTTTGCAGAGTACTTCGCCAAACTCCGGGGCTGGCATGAATGATACAGGGATCCGAAAATGAGAAATGACAGCCCTGAGGGTCTGTCAGTATGAGTATGCCATGATCTTTTTGGGGCTCCTTATTATGGTTATAGTATACAACGGGGCCCAAAACCCTATTCTAATTGTTAAGGCCCTGATATTCCCACTCTGAGGCCTATTCTCATGTCTGAGGCCCCCTATAATACACTGTTGCGCAGTAACCAAAGGCGCTCAAGAATGGGTGGTTGTCAAAATTATGGTCCCATTTGGGTCCTTAACATAGTAAGGCACCTAATATTTAAGGTACCCAAAAAGGGACCATCCTTTTGACAACTAACAAAACCAAGTTATCGGATTTGTGTAGTGGATCATATTCACCCTCATGTGCCGCTCGTTGCTTCCAGCCTTCTGAGCGAACGTGGCGCATCCTTGAGGCTGGCCATGTTCCTGGACTCCCGCGTCAGGCGCGGAGGGCCCCAGAGCTTCAGCTCAGAAAGCCCAATACCTCTTAATTAAGGATTGTATACCTTAAATTATGAGGGACTCATATTATGATTTAAGCAATATTCCTTAATTAAGGAGTATTGGGCTCTCTGCGCTTTAGGAGTTTAGTATACCCCAAAATCCTGATATTCTTAGCTCCTACAGTCTGGGAAGCGTGCACGCGTCCCAGAAACCGAAAACCGGAACCCGCACTCCTCGACCCTCGGCGTCTAAATCCCCGACCCTCAAATCCTAAAAGCCGGGAGTCCTAAAAGCCTAAACTGCCTGATCACCTCAAGTGATCCTGTTCAGGGATCCCAAAAGAGTGAAAGATTTCTATGAAGCGGATCTGTTCAGGCTTCTATAAAGGTTCCTTTCAGGGATCTATCAAAGGTTCTAAGAGGCTTCCTTCAAGGGAACCCTTAAAGGAGCCTTTAAAGGAACCCTTAAAGGAAACTCTGTAAGGAAACCCTTAAAGGAACCCTTCAAGGAACCGTTCTTCACAGGCTCCTGAACTGTTCAGCTGCTATGGGCACCATCCTGGCCGTGCTGAAGCTGAGCCTTGTTAAGGAGGCCCGTTTGGGGGTTCAGGGTTTGGGTAGGGTTTAGGGTTTTGGGTTAAGGGTTTAGGGTGCAGGATTTCGGGGTTAAAGGGTTTAGGGTTGTGGGGTCAAGGGGAATTTAGGTTTCGGGTGCAGGGGTGTGGGGATTTGCGGTTTTGGGACTAGGGGCTTAACTCTTAGGGTGAAGGCTTCGAGGCCTCGACTCTAAGAGCCCGAAGCAGACCTCCACACACGATACTGTAATATACCATATTCTACTATACTATAATATTCTATAACGTACCATAATACGCAATTATGTATCATAACCGTATACTATTAATTACTATATTGTAATGTACCATAATGGCAGTTGCATATCATAACAGTATACTATTATAATACACTACACAAGATCGGGGTCGGATGTGCTCTCGCAGGGCACCGCTACTCGAAGCATCAGGCGACATAGCAACCAGGATTATCTTTCGGGTATAGGGCTTTAGGGTGTTAGTTTAGGGTTTTAGGATTGTAGGGTTTTAGGGTTTAGGGTGTAGGTTTTTTTGGGTTTAGGGTTTGTAGGGTTATAGTGTTTTCAGAGTTTAGGGTTTGGGGTAGTTGCAATTATGAGCAAGCGTCGCCCGAACGAAGGTTCCTCCAACCGTATGTATAAACTGCCCATGAACTTTCTACAGCCCTTAGCCAACTTGCAACCCACATAAAATCCTAAGACCCACATAAACTCTTGAGACGTGCCGGCACACCCCCCAAACCCTAAGCCCTAAAACCCTAAACCTTAAAATGCATGACCCCAACGACTCTAAACTATGGGAACTATGGTATATTCCTTGTATGTTTTTTCATGAAAAGCATGTCTAAACTATGGGAACTATGGTATATTCCTTGTAATGGGTAATGCAGGATTTTGTCCATCAGCAGTATGTCCTCGAGTGAGAGCAGGTCCCAGTGTCCGAGAGCTTGTGGCCCTCGCTGACCCTGGCATCGACCCTCGGATTCGCAAGGGTAGTTGTCAAAACGGGTACCCTAAATATTAGGTGCCGTACCAGAATTAGGGACCCAAAAAGGGACCCTAATTTTGACAACCACCCACAAGGGTTTGTGTGGCTTTTCTTTTCGGATTTAGGGCTAGGGTTTCGGGCTGAGGGTGTCTGTGGCTTTTCTTTTCGGGCTTAGGGCTAGGGTTTCGGGCTAAGGGTTCGCGTGGCTTTTCTTTTGGGGTTTAGGGCTAGGGTTTCTGGCTAAGGGTTCGCGTGGCTTTTCTTTTAGGGTTTAGGGTTTAGGATGGTTGCTTTCATGGTGTATCCTGGAGGCAGAGAGTTAAGTGGATGCCTGCGCGTCCTGAACCAGTATATTATCGTATAAAATAGTATATATGTATATCTATAGTATACTATCATAGTAGAATATCGTATTATGCAGTATTTCTCACTATCGTATACTATCGCATGTTCTAAATGCAGGCATCTCGCCTCGGGGGAGCTTCAGCTGAACCCTTTGATCAGGCACCGGCTGCTTGAGTTGAGCTTTTGGCGCAGTCAGAAGCTTTAGGGGTTCTAGTCGTTTCGCGGCTTGGGGTTTCGAAGGATGTAGGATTTTAGGATTTTCGGTTTGTAGGGCTTTGGGATCTGTAGTTATGGGTTCCGGAGCCTATTCTGAAGAGCTCTACATTAAAAGTATGCTGTATTAGTACGGCAAACCCCTAGTCTCATCATGAAGGCCCCGTTTTCGAGCCCGGATGGAAAGGCGTTAAAGAACCCCAAGACGGGCCGTTGAGACATTCCAATCGAAACCCTACACCCCAAACCCTACCCTAAACGCTAAACGCTAAACCCTGAACCCCTAAACCCATACAAGCAGTCCTGGGCGGCCTTTCTCCGTCCTTGCTTTGCTCGAGCCCAAATGGGTCACAATACCCAGAGACCCCAATCCTAACAATGCGAACTGTCTTCTGCTTCATAGTTTGATGTGGGTTTATGCAGAGAAGGGCTATACCTTAAGTTTTTTCGAGATCCCGAATATGATTTAAGGTTCTTCCTGAGTTCATGGTTCTTGGTAGTCTCCGAACAGCCTCAAGCTTAAACCCCAGGCTCTGAAACCTAAGCTCTTAACCTTGCAGCTGAAACCCCAAAACCCCAAAGCTACGGCTTAGAATTTTGAAAAATCGGGGACCCTAACATAGTACCCTAAATAGTAGGATCTTGTTATAAGGAGGTCAGGTACCCCCCGACTTTTCCTAAACCGTAAATTACCGGTTCGCGGCTTCAGAGCGCCATGGTTCCTTGGCCTCTGGAGCCGGAGCCGGTACCTGGCATGGACGAGGAGATGGCCGTGGCTTTGCTATCAGGGTTTAGGGTTTTGAGTTTAGGGGTTTAGGGTTTAGGGTTTAGGGTTAAGGGTTTAAGGGTTTTGGGTTCGGGGTTTAGAGTTTAAGGTTTAGGGTTGAGGGTTTTAGGGGTTTAGGGTTTAGGGTTCAGGGTTTAGGGTTAAGGGTTTAGGGCTCAGGGCTCAGCAGCTCTAGCTCGAGCAGTTTCTAGGCGAGCTAGCGGATGTAGATGTAGAAAACAGCCCACGCGCGCCCAGAGAGTCCCAGAACATTAACCAGGACCCTCCTTGTACCCTCAAAAAGGGGTGTGTGTGGTCCCAAATAAGGGGCATTGAGGGTCTAATAGGGGCAGATGGAGGGTCTAGGAAGAAAGTACAAAGTTTATCATCTTCCGTCAGCGTCAAATCGTATAGCCGAAACCCTAAACCAACCTTAAACGAACAGTAAACGGAGCCCTAAACGGAGCTTTCAACAACCACGAAAAGGAGCCCTAAACGGAATTCTACAAGGAACCATAGAGCCCCAAACGCAACCTTCAAAGGAACCCTAGACCAAACCCTAAACGAAACCTTAAACGGAACCCTAAACGAAGCCTGACACGAAATCCTAGACGAAGGAACCCTAAACAGGACCCTAGACGGAACCCTAAATGAACTAAACGAAATTCTACGAGCCCTAAGCGAAACCTTAAACGAAACCCCAACTGAAGCCTTAGACGGCTTTTTTAAGGCTCGTACTGCCGTTGCGGTTCGGACCGCTGTTTTGCGGTTCGGGCCTTGTCTTTCCCGCGAAGTTTCGGGCTTGTCCAGTCCTATCACCCCAGACCCACGAAATGGCCTTGCCCCCCACGGAGTTGCCCCCACCAATTTTGGTGCCTAAGGCCCGAATCCTCGTGGGCAAGGCCCGAATCCTCGTGGGCAAAGCCATTTTCGAGATTTGGGGTGTTGTTCCGATCCCAATTTCGCAAAATGGCCTTGCCCACGAAGATGCGGGCCTTGAGAGGTTTAAGGTTTCGGGTCTAAGGTTTAGGGTTTTGGGTTTAGGGTGTCTGGTTTCGGGGAGTAGGGGAGAGGTGTAACCGCGATAAAGTCAAGCGATGCCAATACTGACACTGACTGTAGTGCAGGCAGGTTTTTGACAATTTGGATCATGATCTTGACCCACCCCTGTGCCTCCCAGGTGTGTGATGTCATAACCTCACCCGGGACATTGTTGTCAGAAGATGTGGATCCTCTTCTCATCCGGGGCGTGCCCCTGGACCTGTGCATGCAGAGCTGGGGGACACACTTCTCCACCGCTGAGTCGAAGAATGTCAACACAAGGATGAGGATTCTCGACCCTGTCAGTGGTGCAGGGGTTGGGCTTGAGGGTTCAGCGCATCCTAAGCGATAGGACTGGAGCCGAATGCCTGTTCTGAGCAACCGGAGCACGAAGAGTTGGCATCTACTTGATTCGTGAGTGGGGTCTACAGTCAGAGCAGCTACACATGTAAGTGTGTAGAGCAGGTAGTCAATGTATTTATGGCAATACTTACAACTACCCATGAACCTCCTAAAGCCCGCTCCAATCTAGTTTAGAAGACAACAACCAAACAAAAGTGCCCATGAACCTTAAACCCGAAGCCAATGAGCGTTCAATCCTTCTGTCCGGCCTACTTGAGGGATCTGGGGACTTAGTAAGTAGTGTTATATCTAGGGTGGCTATACTTATGCATGTTTTTTGGCCTTGCTTAAGGTACTTAAAGCCATCCTTACTACGTCCCAGTAGCGAAAACCGACAGCAGTGGACAGATTCACCGGAAAGAGGGGTTTGAGCCACGAAGACTGTGCTATGTGAGAGTAGCAGTAGGGAAAGTTAACTTAGATTCTAAGCCACTGCAAAAACACTTTTGGAGTGTCAGAGGTCCGTTTTAGGAATTAGTTCCTGAGGGCTGATGGGGGTTGCGGATTGGGAATCCAATTAAATGGGTTCCTATAAGGGTTTAGGGCTTTTGCTTCCACCTGTAGATTTTGGAGTTTATATCTTAGGGCTGTAGGCCCGGAATTCTAAACCGCAATTGTAAACGATTTGCTCGGTGAAGAACCATCTGGGAAGAATGAGTTCGGCGCGGCCGTCGACGCGCAAAAAGGCACGGAGAAGGCAGCAAGCGAAGGAAGCGGGGCTTGGGCGGGGGGCATCACAGGGAGGAGGGGGCCCAACTGGAGGCGATGAGGGAGGAGAAACGGGGTTTGATCGCGTTATTGGAGGTTCGTGTATGCAGGTGCTCCACTCCTGCAGTTCTTTGGTGAAGGTTTTGGCCTTTTCGGGTTGAGGCTTGGCCAAACCCTGAGCGCTTGCTCCTCGCACCCATATGCCGTTTAGCTGCTCAGGATGAGCTACAGCCTCAGCCGCACCACCGACACGATCGATTGCTTCCTCAGCCACGATTGGCAGACTTCTCGGTGGAAGAAGACGGTGGCCCTACACTGTTCAGATAAATCTAGGTCGGAATAAGACGCTGACGCTACGCTGTTCAGACAAGTATAGGCCGTATAGTGATCCTCGCTTTTTTCTTCAAAACCCTAGTCTAAATATCAAGGCCAGTATCAGCTAGATGCATGACATGAAAGGTTGGGAATCCTACACTGAACCTCCTTTGAGAGCAAGCACAACGGATTCCAGAACAGAGCCGCGCTGATCTTCGGGGTTTGTGCAACATTGGGGTCGGAACGGTTGATGATATAAATCCTGCATTACCCATAATAAGGAATATACCGTAATTCCCATGGTTTAGGGTCTTTAAGGTAATGCAGGGTTTATATCATCAACCGAAGAAGTGGCAGTTTGTAGCGAAGCCCTGTCAACAACAAAAGGCCCCCTACATTAACAAGGTCGCATTGCTCGTGATCTTCAACAGCGTGCCTGCAGCGGTGACAAGTGTGCTGGTGGGGCAGGGCTTTGGTGTTAATGTTAGTTTCGGAAATCTTCGGCAAGGTATTGCTTCGTTATTCTTGCACCGGCGAAGATGACTATCATGATGGTGATGATGACGAGGCTGCTGATGAAGGTGGTGACAGGGGCTGCTGTGATTATGTTGTTGTCGATTTGAACGATGATGGCGAGGAAGGTCTTGTTGTGGATGAAGATGGTGATGATGTGATGATGATGAGCTGATGCTTTTGCTTTCGTCATTGCGGTTGTTGTTGCTGCTGTGTTGTTCGTTTTTCATTTTTGTGTGTCGTTGTTGTTGTTGATGTTGTTGTTGTGGTTTTTGACGTAGTAGTAGTAGTAGTCGTAGTAGTGGTAGTAGTAGGAGTAATAGGAGTAGTAGCAGTAGCAGGAGTAGTAGTAGTAGTAGTAGTAGTAGTAGTAGCAGCAGCAGCAGCAGGAGTAGTAGTAGTAGTAGTAGTAGTAGTAGTAGTAGTAGTAGTAGTAGTAGTAGTAGTAGTAGTAGTAGTAGTAGTAGTAGTGGTAGTAGTGGTAGTAGTGGTAGTAGCAGTGGTAGTAGTAGCACGAGGAGTACTAGCAGTAGCAGTCGCAGTCGCAGTAGCAGCAGCAGTGGCAGTGGCAGTGGCAGTAGCAGCAGCAGCGGCAGTGGCAGTGGCAGTGGCAGTGGCAGCAGTAGCAGTAGCAGTAGCAGTAGCAGTAGCAGTAGCAGTAGCAGTAGCAATCGCAGTCGTAGTAGTAGTAGTAGTAGTAGTAGTAGTAGTAGTAGTAGTAGTAGTAGTAGTAGTAGCAGGAGTAGTAGTAGTAGTAGTAGTAGTAGTAGTAGTAGTAGTAGTAGTAGTAGGAGTAGTAGTAGTGGTGGGGGTGGTGGTGGTGGTGGTAAGCTTTTTTAGTTGTTGCTGTAGTTGTAGTTGAGGTTGTTGTTGCTGCTGCTGTTGCTGTTGCCGTTGCTGTTGCCGTCGCTGTTGCAGTTGCAGTTGTTTTCGCAGTTGTTGCAGTTGTTGTTGTTGTTGTTGTTGTTGCTGTTGCTGTTGTTGTGGTGGTGGTAGTGGTGGTGGTGGTGGTGGTGGTCGACAGCGCGTTAGTATCACAGTGTTCATCAGGGAATTCGCAGTTGTATTTGTTTGGGCCCGTGCTTCGGTTTCCTGGAGGTTAGCACGTTGGCATCCGTGCTGCTCTGCTTTGACCTGCTGCCAGGCCAGATCCGATCTCTGGGTAGTAATACAGAAGCACAAGGAATTAGTAGGACTCTTCCTGCGTTCCTGGATATGAGTACACTATAGTACTACAGTATATGCCAAAACCCCATTCTGTTTGTGAGGGCCCTATATTCGTTGTTTGGGTTTACGTGATTTCTGGACGAAAGGGAAGAGGACCGTTTCGTGGGCCTCAACCACTTGGTTTGCCGACAAGCCCCTGGTGTGAAATCCATGGAACCCCTGAGAGTATGTGCAGCCCAAGAATGCCACAACCCCTTCTTTTCGCAAACGGCCAGAAGCCCAGAGCCTCCAAAACCCCTTCATTAAGGAATATACCTTAAACCAAAGTAGGATCCCTAATATAGTTTAAGGTATATTCCTTAATTAAGGGGTTTTTGGAGGCTCTGGGAGGGTGACCCTCCAGCCTGAAGCTGCAAGCCAAGCCCCAAAGCCGAGACTCTCGCAGTGAAGAGGTGCATGTAGGAGGCTTCCGGGTCGGCGCTGCTCTTCGGAGGCTTTGGGGTTCCACGCGTTTTACTATTTACGTTTACGGTGTCAGTGTGACAGTGAAGATCCCGAGCTTCGTTTTGGTCATATTCCTCTGCGAGGTGGCTGGATCACTGGCGGCTGCCTGGGTTACTTCAGCTTCAACCTGGCAGCCAAGCTTGGAAGGGCTCCTCAAAGGGCTCCTTAAAAGGGGTGTTTAAGGGTCCCATAAGAGGGGTTTTAGGGTTACTTGGAAAGATCCCGGCAGCTAAGGTTGGAAGACTTCAGGGCTTAGGGTCAACTTCGAAGCCTCGCGGAAACCCCTAAACCCGGCATCCTGCACCACCAGCCCTCACCCTAAGCTGCCAACCAAAATGCCGGAGTCCTAGAGCTGTTTTTTCTTTTTATCTTCTTCGCTCTGCAGTCGGATCTGCTTCTTTTCGTGCCAGTCCTTGGGCCCTAAGCCCTAAACCCTGCAGGGTCTGTGGCTTTCAAGATTTCGGCAAGTTTCCTTTTGCAGGTTCCGTAGGCAACCTGCGATGTGTCGGGTTTGGTGAAGGAGTGATGGCTTAGGCTATGCATGGTTGTGTAAGCATCGTGCTTGTCAAATCCCGCTCTCCTCTCGATTCAAAAAGGAGCGTTCCAAAGCACTTGTGGCTGGTTTGTTGGATGCAGTTCTAGAATCATACAGTCATGAGGCAGTGGACTGCCAGAGCAGAACTCCTACAAAGGTATTCTTCTTCTGGCAGCGGCTGCGTCGCATCCTGTGCTGCAGGCAGCCCGGGCCGGGGAGGGGGGGCAGGTGGAGGGGGCAGGGGGGGGGGATTGCTCTGTCCTGCATCCGAAATCCCCAATTAGCAGGATCTTGTTTTGGAATCGTCCGAAGTAGAACAGCATAGCTTGCACAGGGACCGCAAAGTGACCCCATGTTGCAGCTCCGAATGGCAATGTCCTCAAACAACACATTACACTGAGCCCCAAACCATAAGCCCAAAGCCCTTGATCATCACCAGGCTCTGTTCCCTAGGTCTCCCTGTCACAACTATACTATACGATAACCCCCAAGACCCGATGGATACCTAGGATGCCCAGTAGTACCCTTATTCCCTTTTTGTCGTCCTAGGTTCCTTATAAAGATACCCAATACCAAAAAGGGCGCCCTTTTTATTCCTAGGTTACTGGGCATCCTAGATACCAACCCAGCCCTCGCCCGAGCCTGTGCGTCACACAGACCATGTACCCTAAATAGTAGGATCGACCCCCAAATAAGGTACCCCTAATTTTCGGAAAGCCCCATATTCAGAAACCCCACACGGACCCCTGAAGCATTTTAGGGTTTAGGGTTGCGCCCCAAGCCCGAAACCCTAAACGGTCAACCCCAAACCCTGAACCCTAAACCAGAAACGGGGTCCGGAAACCTTAAGCTCTGAACCCGAAACCCTGCAACCCTGTCGCCACGAAAGTTTTGAAGGCGAACGATGGTCTTCTTTGATCGCATCTGCATCGCCCAGCATGACGAGCACCTCAAACAGGCGGAGAATGAATTCCTTCCTCACTGTAAGGGTTCATAAGGATTCTGCAACCTCCCAACGAAGCCTTAAACGTCTGAAACCCACCATGGCTCTTCCTGATCAGACATTTCCCGCCGCTCGTAGCAGCTGTGAAAACAAGCAACTTGAACCCGAAGCTGAGTTTTGTCAGCAAGCCGGGAAGCTGGAACGAAAAAAGCAGACGACGATGTTCGGAGTCCCGAGTCCTAAGTCCAGGAACGCCGGAAGGACAACCACCCATACCTCCGAGTTCGAAGTTCTCGGGCACCCCTTACACCTCTAAGCCCTCAAGGGCCCTCAGCCCCCAAGACCCCGAGTCCCAGATCCTGAACTCTCGACTCCAAAAGATTAAACATCCGGGGCCCTAAGCCCCTAAACCCTGAACCCTGAACCCCTAAACCCCTAAACCCTAGAGCCCCTTCGTTCGAAGCAGGAGGGTATTCTGAGCCTCGCTGGAATCTTGGCGCAGTCGCGGAAGCTTGTGATTCTCTGGTCGCCACACTACTTTACAAGGCTCCCTGGCCTAAGACAGCGGTCTGGTGCTGTTTGCGACTATTTCTCGTTTCATTCGCAGCATAATTCGCAGTATGATGTGTCGTATTCGTAGAACCGTCATGGGTCGAAGTAATCCGGTCATTTGTATAGGGCGATGCTCGGAGAACTCCGTCGCCTTACGAGCTGTTTTAGGTGGATCCTGAAAGGCAGCGGCAAGAGCCACTGGAAGCTTCACACCATGAGGCACGAGAGCGAAACCTGAGGTGGAAGCCTGAATAATTAGGAAACCAGCGATAAGATACCGGAAGGGCCAGTGACTGTTCGCTCCTGTAGCGCCTGTTGATAGCTGTACAAAGCTGATAGTTATTGTTATTTTGTAGTAGTCGTAGTATTAGTAGTATTCTTATTACTATGACTAGTATTATCATTAGCAGTAGTAGCAGTAGCAGTCGTCGTCGTTAGCAGTGGCAGTAGCAGACATCTTCGTGGTGGTGGCTCCAGCAGTCCGAGGCTTTGGTGCACGTTCGAGCTCGGTGCCTTCTTGAAGGACAGCGAGAGTCACTGGCTTCCTGTTAACAGGTTCAGTTTAAGTTACTACCAGATGGAAACCATATTATTTACTATAGATCCCTATTAAGAATATTACATTATGGAAACCATATATCATTTACTATAGATCCCCCTATTAAGAATATTATGATAAGTTAAACTGAATTCCTGAACAAGAACCCAGGTGAGAAGCCTGTGGAGTTCCTGCCGGCTCCTCGACTTTGATTTATTTTTTTGTGCGAAAGAGCGGCCCGGGGCTCTCGTACTTAGGGTTCCTTAAAGGGTCTTTTATAAGGGGCTTCTTTTTAAAGGGTTCTATTGAGGGATCTAGAGGGGTTTAGGGTTCAGGGTCTACTTAGAGGTTCATGGGACTTAGTAACTAGGGTTATAATTAAGGTAACTACGCTTCTATGTACTTATAATCCCAATTAGGGTACTTATAGCTGTACTTACTAATTCCCATGAACCTCCAAGTAGAACCTACAATCATACGGGGCATTGGGACTCAGTGGAGCTTAGCTTCCCTTTGCCGTAGCTTCCGGGCTAGGAAGGCGTACAAGTGGTCGTGAGCCGATAACGGCAGTTAACATGGGCGCTTTTTTGTGGGGCTGAAAAGTTGTTAAAGCGCTACAAACCCCTAGTGAAGCCGGGCAAAACCGTCCAAAGCCATACACCTCGAGTCCATTTCTGGGGGTGCTCAGATTCCGGAGCCTACTATAGGGTTTAAACGGTTTAGGATTTAGGTCCAGGTATGTATTTGGGGTTCAAGCCCCTTAGTCTGAATACAGCCCAAGATAGAGACGGGCATTCAGGTTTCAGTGGCGCTTCAACTGTTGCTGCAGTCGGCCTTCATGACCGCTCTCTGCCTGGCTGTGCACATCTCACTGTGCCTTGCTCGGATCTCCCCGTTCTGCGTTTAGGCTTTCTAGGCTTTGGGGTTTGGGGAACTGGGTTTGGGGTAGCGGTTTAGAAGGGTTCAGGGCGCTAGTATGGCCGGCGCAGTTGCTCTTCAGGCTTTGTTCGGCATGGCGAAGAGCCCAGGTACATCGAAGAAGCCGCTGCTGTGGAGAACTCGTCAGATGCTGCCCTTCTCTTCTTCTTAATTTGGGTGCTCCCTGCCGGCTTAGGCACCTTGCTGGCACCCCGAGTAGTGCTTCGTTAACCTGGCTCAAGCCACGTAAAGCTTCCGGGCAACTTTGGCTTTGGAGCCAGGGGAGTTAGCTGCAAGAGCAAACCCCAAACCCAAAACCATATAATCGTGAACCGTGAGCCCTCAAATGCCGAACACCAAGCAAACAGGAACACCCGGCACGCTTGCGTCTGAAACCCGAAACCCCTTAAGTATGTCTTGAAACACCGCATCTACAGGTTTCTCTCATAGTACCCTATAGCCCTGTAGATCCTTTTCAAGCTCAGAGATCCATTTAAGGGTTCGGGGCCTATGGGATAATCTACCCTAAAGCCCGAAGCCACAATCTCACAGCCCCGAGCTCTGAACTCCCTAAGAAGCTTTTAGGGGTTTAGGGGTTTAGAGGGTTTAGGCGGTTTAGGGGTTTAGGGCCTTAAGGCTTTAGGGCTTAGGGGTTTACGGGTTTAGGGCTTAGCCCTTTCCCCCCCCCACACACTGAGAGAGGCATCCTTCCTGTTCTGCTTCACTACGGCCTGCAGCATCTCGAGGATTCCGCGGGTACTGTAGGGGCTTTTAGGGTTCCTTTAAAGGGCTCCTTAAAGGAATACTGTAAGGGATCTATAAGGGTACTCTCCCTAGACTATTGGGGTGTTCCGTATTATATTTACAGCATAATGGGCCCTAAAACCCCTATTCCAACTACTAAGGCCCCCCAGGGTACTTGTCGAAAGCCCAGAGCCCGGGACTGCCTTGGAGACCTTAATATAGCTATTATATGCCCATTATATAGCCCATTATAGGGTAGGGTCCCCATTAAGGGCCCCTCCTTGTCCCCTTTGATGACGACTTGAGCTTTCTGTGCATAGGATCTGTGAGGGTCTCCGGGCCTGGACTCCTGGAATGCTCGGCTTGCGGGTTTAAGGGTTTAAGGGTTTAGGGTTTAGGGTTTACGGGTTTAGGGTTTAGGGTTTAGGTAGGGTTTGGAGGTTAGGTTTAGGGTTTTGGAATTCTTCGGGTCTAAGGGTTTCGCTTCGTTTAGGGACACAAACTTCTCCACACAGAATTGACTCGCCGGCAAACATGGCCCAGCTTGCGAATCCTATGCTGCACATAGTCTCCCCCCATTCCCTCCTTCCCCCCTCGCTTAGCGTCTCTGCACCTCTCTGTCCACCTTTCAAAATTGTTCCACTTGCTTCTCCTGCACAAGGCCGCTCTCTTTCATTGGCAACATCCCCATAGATATGAAGCTACACACGCGGCAGCAGCCCTTTCAACGCAGATCAGCCTGAAACCTTAAACCCTAAACCCCCTAAGTCCCCAAACCCCTAAACCCCTAAACCTGCAGGACGTCCAGCAGCTTGGTGAGCAGCTGGCCAACTTCAGCGTGAGAGATGCCGGCTGCACCTGCTGCACCCTTGCTGTAAAGCAATATGGGAGTTTCCGAGAATCGGGTACCCTTTAAGGGTTCCTTTAAAGGGCTACCTTTAATGGGCTCTATACGGTTTTAGAGTTTCCGAAAATAGGGGACCCTAATATAGTACCCCTAAGTAGTAGGATCCTTATTATAAGGACCCCAAAATAAGGTACTGTGGACCACTGCGACCCAGCCACGGGG